CGGAGTCAGTCCTGGAAAAATAGAACTAGAACCTGGGTCTGCACTGGAACCCATTGTACTGGGTTCTAGTCCCGGTTTTCTACTAATTTTTTTTTTTTTTTGACATCTCTTTGGTCCCCTCAGTTTTCTGACTTGGATATAGCGGATTGGATGCACAAAGCTGTGTGACACTTTTTGTGATTCCTTGACATCATCTGGATGGCAGGTGTCTTCAGCGCGTCACTGAGAGCTCCAAGCTTCCAGCCCCAGTGCCTGCCTGGGAGTGACCCCAAAAGGGCTCTTATAGTGGGGTTTCTGGAAGACATTCCAGTTCTTTAACAACCCCATTTCAGACCCTTCAGGAAAGACTAGACAAGTGTCTCCTCAAAGTCATTCCAGTGGAAACCAGAGTGGATCTCTATTGCATTTTCCTGCCTGGCATCCGAGTTTTCTTCCTCTAATAACGGCATCCCAGTTTTGCCTTAAGGAACTATCCTTTCTCTATTCTCAGTGCTTGAGGGCGAGACTCCAGCACATGGCAAGCTGAGCAAACAGCCTGTTCTCTACCCTACCTGCTATGATTTGAATATGTCCCCCAGAGTTCACATGTTGGAAACTTAATTACCATTGTATCAGTATTACAAGGTGGAGCCTTTAAGAGGTGATTAGGCCATGAGGGCTCCACCTTCACAAAGGGATTAAGGCCATTACTGTAGGTGTGGTTTCTTGATAAAAAGGATGAGTTCAGTAGGGTTCTCCCCCTCCCTCTCCCTCTCCCTCTCCCTCTCTCCCTCCCCTCCCCTCTTTCCCCTCTCTCCCTCCCTTCCCCTCCCTTCCTCTCCCTCCCCTCCTCTCTCCCCCCCCCCCCCCCCCCCCCCCCCTCTCTCTCTCTCTCTCTCTCTCTCTCTCTCTCTCTCTCCTCTCATGCTCGCTTCCCCTTCCACCACATTATGACGCAGCAAGAAGGCCTTCCTCACAAAGTGTGGTCCCTTGACCTTGGACTTCCCAACTTCCAGAACCATGAGCTAAATAAACTTCTTTCCTTTTTAAATTAGTCTGTGATGTTCTGTTCTAGCAACAGAGAACAGACTAAGACACCACAGCACCCCTTGGTCTCAGTGATTGAAGAGTGGTCACAGGACCCAAAGCAGGCTCAATTCCAAGACTTTGGCTAGGGATGCTGGTGGCCATGTTGCCTCCTGATGAAAAACATCTGTTAGAAGGAAGCAACACGGGAAACTACAGCTGGTAGCTGAAGAGGGGACAATCGTTGAGGACATCAACTGAGCCCTTATATCCAATTGTGCCTGAAGCCTACACCTAGACTTTCAGTTACCTGTTTTTGTGGTTGTTGGAGTCAGTTTCAGTTGGGCGAGGTTTCCTTTCTTCTTTTCTCACCCTTACATGCCCCTCTTTCAGGGTTCCAAAATTTTAGTTACTTTCTATTAAAAAAAAATGTTAACCCTAAAAGCCCCATGAAAGACCAGGTCTAATGCAGTATTGGTGGTCATCACCTCCTACCCCCAAACACTCACTTATCAGAATCCTCAAGGCAGAATTCTTGGCAACCATTGCCAATCATTTGGAGTCGGCTCCAAGCTGAAGTCCATTTTCCAGCAAAGCTGAAGCAACCTACATCATTGCCCTGGGAGCGGCAGGTGGCAGTCAGAGGACTGGGAAGATGGTTTAAATCAAAGCAGAGGATTAACTGCCAAGGCCTGGAGGGCACTAGTTGATCACAAAATCAGATGCAACTTTGATATATTGGCAAAATCAAATAGTGCTACTATTTAGCCATGAGCCATTGCCAGGGTTGGCCTCAGGGTAGGGGTCTCTTTGAGGTAGGCTCTGAGAGAGGGAAGTGTGGAGTTCTGTTAGCTGGCTCCAGGAGGCGGGCATGGGCTGAAGGCAGGAAAGGCCTGGCAGGTGCCATCTTTCCCCAGATGGCTGGGCAGTCACACACAGCACCTTCAGGGGCCTCGGCCCTGGCCCCACACCCGTTATAAAAACTGGTCACAGTGGATGAGCCCGGTCCATGTGCCCACATGCAACTCAGGGCTCCCAGGGCTGCCAACTCGGAGTGGATCATGTTTTCTTGGACAAAAACCTCCGACAAAAAGTGCTGGTTCTTCCTAAGTTGGTGCATTTCTAATTCTGAAGCTGACGGATGCTTTTCTCACTCTCCCAGAACTCAAAATCAACTTGACATTTCTAAAATTACATTTTGAAGGGAATGAATCTATAAAGTGCACCAAGAGCCCATGCCAGCTGGGGAAAGGAGAAAGAAGGAAACAATCGTTTCTGGCTCCCTCCCTTAAATGCGTATATTCCTTATATGTGGGCCAAGGGAAGGGAGGCTCACAGACCACCTGAAAGGGCAGGCGAGCTTTCCAGGAACAGGTGCTCTCACAGTCTGCCTGAGGGTTCCTGTGCAGTGTGGTTCAGACGGGCGTCCCAACATGGGGCAAAATGAGGGAGAAGTGAGCCGGTATGGGAAGAGGGCAGGGCACCTTTGTTTTCTTCACGCTGGAGACAGCCCATAGGCGGCAGGGGAGGGCCCCCAGGTGGGTCCCAAAGGAAGCCCCCTGGCCCAGCCGGCACACAGGCCACTTAGAAGCAGGCAGCAGCTGCTTCTCCTTAAACTGGAGAGGTGGTAGAGGGGCTTTGTGTGAGCCCGGATCAAAACACGTCTATCAAAAGGGATCAAGAGGCTGGCCAAGTGGATTGCAGATGGGAAAGGGAATTGAATCTTTTTTTTTTTTTTTTTTTACAAAATATGTCAAGAAAATTTGGGAGAAAATGCCTCCGTGTGCAACTCTTTCCCTTACAGTAAGGCCTGTCCAACTCCCTCCCATAATCCTCCTCTGCCCTCCACCCACAGATCAACTTCAAAATGCAGCCTGTTAGTGTTTAAAGTAATCCATTCAAAATGGACCCCACCCCTGTACTCTCCCTTTGCTCCCTCGCCACCCCCACAAGCGAGGGAGCAGCCAGGCCCTCCTGCTTCCTCTTCTTCCTGTGGCTGCTGTGGGGTTTCTCCCTGCAGGCCAGTGTGACCCGGGATGGAACTGACTCCTTAGTCGCATTCCCGGCAGGGAAGCTCCATTCAGCAATCATTAATCCGCTGCTTACAAGGTGACTCCAGGGTGCTGACTGCTGGGGAGACAGATTTGGGGAAACAGGGACCCCGTTCTCCGGGGTTTGCAGTACCCAGTGATAGAGGACGACACACGAAGCACAGGCAAGCAGGGCGCCATCCTGGCCTGGCTGGAGGAGATGGGAGAGGGGCAGAAGGGGAAGGCAGCCACTGAAAGATTGTCAGGACTCTTCCTGAGAGCCAGTTCCTCACAGCAGACAGGGGGGCTGCATTTGGAGAAGTCCTTGTGGAGCAGGGGGGCTCTGCAGAGGTTCCTGAGCGGTGCATAGGGTTGTGACAGTGTCCCATGTGGGGTGCACAGCAAACGCACAGGCCCAGGGTGGACGGCGGCAGTGAGGGGTACAGCAAGGCCCACTGTGTGAGTGTGGGAAGTGTGACGGGGTGAGGCCTGGTGCTGAAACTTGACATCCTCAAAGCCCACGGATACCAGGCTGAGGAATCTGCTTAATGGGATTCTACCACACGAGACTCCCTGACAGCCCATGCTGGGCCTGCGAGTGAGCACAGCACATGAGCTCCTCACGCTGGCGCCCCGGCCCCACGTCCCCTGCAGGGTCCTTTCCTGTGCAGAGAAACACCCTCTCCCCAGTTGTCCTGGGGGTCTGCTAGGACAGAAGCTGCTGGGGCCAGGCCCTTCCCCGAGGGCATTCCTGTGTGTGTTCCAGGAAGTCCTTTCAGAGCTGGGCACTGAGGCAGCAGGAGCCCAGGAGAGAAGTGGCCCAGCCAGGCCTGTAGAACCACTTCCTGGCTAATCATCCACCCCACCCCGACTCAGGGCCACTACTCATTAAAAGAGGTGTACGTGGGCTTCAGTGCATGTGTGTAGCCTTTATGCAGCAGGTCACCTGTGACACTAGAGGGGAGGAGAGGTGCCAGCTCTGGGGTCTCTAACAGTGGTGGACTTTCTGAGTCACTTCTGTGCTCAAATGTAAAACTGTTGCTGCCACCCCTGCCTGACCCACAAAAGTCCCATGTCATCCTCTCCTCTGCCCCTGCCTTATCTGGGGAATGCTTGGGGTCAAGTCATCAACATCAAGGCTGCAGGTGGGACCCGTCCTCCTTCTCTGTCCACTACAGCCCCCACACCCGCACGGACTCCCTCAGCACAACACCGAGTCCCCACAACAGACTACATGAACTTTGCGTGTCAAAGATCTTTTCCATTTAATTTTAAAAAACCCAAACAATGTCACAAAGGGGCTCCAGAAATACATGCTTTTGAATTTCAGCCATGAAGAGGACCAAAGGAGACAGTGCATCTGCAAATATGGCTGCTTTCCATAGAAGGGTCTGTGCAGCAGAGAGAAGCCCAGCTCCTCCGCCAGTGTGAGAACACATGGCCCACCAGGCAAGCGCTGTGGGGACAGTGTCTTTGGTTGGCTGGAGCTTTGTCCAGAACTGGCTGGAAGGCGGCCTGGCAGGAAGAGGAAATCTTCCTGCAGCCCTCCTCTAAACAGAGGCAGGGGGAACAGGTGACATTTAAGTTTGCTAGCCTTCTGCTGCCTCTGAGGCTGCAGGACACGCCATTTAAACCTGATACAAAGTGGGTTCATGACTTGAACTTGGATCTCACAGTAGCCTCAGGGACACCGCGGCAGCCATGATGGGATGTGGGCAGCAGACACGGCTGGAGACAGCTTCTAGACACTCCTGTGTTGTGTAGATCCACATAGAGATACACTAAAACCCTTTTTACCAAATAAGAATAAATAATTATACCAATATAAACAGGGCCTTTGACCCCTTCATTTTATTAAAATGGCACGTAAATATTAAAACAGCATACTGATCACTTTATACTTCTGTTGGCCCCCAGGTGAGCTGTTGGGGAGTGGCTAGTGGGCTCCCTCCAAAGGCTACAGACTCATGCATTGAGCAACTCATGTTCTTTATCAGTCTTCCCAACAGCATCAGGATTTGATAATGGGTCAAGGTCAGCGAAGAGGCTGAACCAGGCAGTCAGGTCCGAGGCAGCCTTAGCAGGGTCTGGGGAGAAAAGAGAAAACATCAGCAAACTCACCTTCCAAATGCCCACTGCTGCCACGCTGGATGTGGGCAGGTCCAGGGTCATCTTGAAAAGGGAGGATGTTCCATCAGACAAATCTCGTTACACTCTGTCTCTAACAATCGTCAGGGAATTCCACATTCCCCCGCCCCCGCTGGTTGGCTGGTGGTTGGTTAACATTTCTGAACCGTGGCCTGACTCAGTGAAGGACGAGCTTGTAAGCTAACCAACCCCTGCCTGCACCCCAACCCGGCGGATGGCCACAGCCCACGGAGTCACTCAAAACCTCAGGCCCTGCCACTTCACCACAACCAGGAAATAGCACAGTTATTTCAGAAATCAGACTGAATGGCTGAGGAAGCAAGGGGCTTTCCATTGTCTGCAGGAGGAATCTTTTCAAATCTGCTGGGTTAGCAGAATGATTACGGCCACTCTTTACACTCTTGGAAGCAAGAGGCCCAAAGGGATGGGAGCCCAGGCCTGGCTTCTCCTCCATTCCCAGGGTCCCTGCTTTCTCCAACTCTCTCCTGTCAAAGGGAGGAGGCCCCTAACGTGTCCTCTCTTCTCCCAGGGTGCTCACAATCCCCTCTCTCCTCAGCTGCACTGGAACACTCCCTCCTATTGCCCTTCCACCAAAACACCTGCCCCGGCTTCCTGAATACCACCATTATAGAACCAAATTATTTTCCAGATGAGGAGAACATTTTCAAAAGAGTGCCTCATGCAAGTGGTTTTTAAAGAAGGTGGGAGCTCTTTTCTTATATAAATCATTCCACATGAGAATCTAAGTTCATTGGCTTGGATGACCTGTGCTTTTTCCTTCTCCGGCAGGTGGGAGTGTCAGAAGCATGAGAAAATGTCTCTCTGACAGGTTATCCTTTTAGTTGAGGGCAGCTAGGAATGTGCTTGCCATCTGGCTGAAAAGAGTCTCAAAAAATACCGGGAGGACAAGTCGCTAAAAGTGGTTAGTGATGGGATAGAAGCAATGGCATTCTATCAATATAAAACAGGGTCTTTCATCCTTTCATTAAAATGGCACTGAAATGCTAAGATAGTGTAGTGATCGCTTAATACTTCTGATTTTCCTCTCCTCTTTTTTTCCCAAGTCTTTTGTAGATGTATAACTTTATAATGAGATAATCGAGGTATCTATTATAGAGAGAAAAGTACTGATAGCAAGACTAGTTTGTAATATGCAAGTTATTACTACGTAACAGTAATTGAATTCCATGTGCAGTTAGCCCCAAAACACTGGGTTTATCTTGATATGATTATCTCAGACTTGAGAAAGCTCAATATAGCTTAGTTGAGGGATGGGGGGAGGAGACTGCTTAAAAGAAGGGAGTCACTTGTCTTTCTTTTGTCGTGTAAGAGGTCACACAAGGAAACTGTATGGGGCAAGACTGATGCAGGTGGATTAATCTTTCTATAGTGTTCATAGAGAATATCAAGATATTTTAAAGATATCTCCAGTGAAAATATGCTACATGCTCACTTCCCCTTCCTCTTAACCTCCACAAACGTCTTACAAGGTCCTCAGGGTGATCATGGCTATGCCCTGAGGAGCTGAGAGATTGTACTTCAGGTAACCCCTCACGTTCCCCAGGCTGCCACTGTTGGAGGCAAAACCAGGTGCAACTTATTTGCACAACACTTAAAAGAATGTCATGAAAACACTTTTTGATGATAATGGAATAGACACACCCTTTAACTTCCTGTGGTCAACAAAGGGAGAGTGGGTGATGACCAAAGGAATAGAGAGAGAACTGCAAATACAGATGAGCTCTTCAGTCGAGCTCTTCAGTTTTCTCAGGGGCCCGAGCTTGAAAAGACCTCTTTTGACAACTAAGAAATCTGACCCTTTCTGAGGAGCACGAATTCAATGCCCTATTTGGTGGTAGCAAGGGTATTTTCTGCAAAAGATAGCAAACCTCAGTGGTCTTTCCTTCCTTGATATTTCTACTTAGTCTTGGGGACCACCCAATCACATGGTGACAGATATTTGATTCATCCACATTAGGTACAATTTGATAAAGGGAATTATGAAGTAGGACATTAAGCCAGAAAAAAAGTCAGAATGTAATTTCTAGGAGTGTGCAAAGCTCTCTAGCTCATAGCCCTCCTTTGAGCCCTAGATGCTCAAATAGAAATTAGCAGAGAGAGACAGAAAATAGGTTAGGCCACTGGAAAGAAAGGCAATTGTCATTTCACGGGGATAAGACACCATATTACCTTTCGCCGCAGGGCTGTTGCCATTGGGACTGCTTGTCTTTGTTGCTGGCCACGGAGTAGAAGGAGGATTGACATTGCTCTCTGACCAGCCTAATATTTAAAACCAGAGCACATTAGAGCTAGTGAAGAGTAGTCACGCTGACCCACCAGTTGCTAGGCACACACGTGGTTCTCAACCATGGTGGCCTCCAAAGGAAAGAGGAAGGTATGACAAGACCCTTGCCTCATTCTGGAATACGTTTGAGGGGACAGGAGATATGCATAATCACGCCCAATTCAAAAATATGAAAAACGAAGGAAAAGATTGGATTTTGCAAAGCAAACCACAAATGGCTAAGGTAAAATCATTTTTGCTTTTTAGCTTGATGCCCATTTTTCTTCTCAAGCATCATCATTTCATGATCATTCCAAAGATTATCAATAATGTGCCGAGGAAATCAGGTGCCTTGTTTTTCTGTCACAAATGGGGAAAGCTAAAAAAACAAGTATCATTAAATGAAGCAACAGAACTAGTAAACTGCATGTCTTCTCAACTTCCAATATGATCCAGTCCATTTATTTTCTACACTACTAATTTAAATTGGGAGAGTTAATTAATACAGATAAACAAATGACAGTCTAGTCCAAATATATGAGGGGGAAAGAAAGTCCTCTTTAACTTTATGCCATCCTCTTACCATGGCATTTGGTTCGTATAACCACCCAGTACTCTGTAACGCCCTCATGCCCTGCCTTCGCCTGGATGATTAAGAGGCATTCCGCACCCGTCATAAGGGAAGCCAGGCCAGTTCACCACACCATTTACTGTCAGTTGGACGTTTTAGCATGCCTCGTATTTAATTTAGAACTTCACCATTTGCTTCACTGCACTTCTGCTTTAATTCTTTATGTGTAAGTCCTGTCTTCTCAATGAGACAAGAAATTTTTTCATCAATCTGCTCCAAAATACATAATGCAGCACAGGTGGATGTTGCTGATTAAGTCTATGGTTGATTCTCACTGTAAAATACAGACCATCAGATGACGCATCACTGTTGGGACAGTTATGCCTAAAGAAAAGATTTTGTATCTGATAAGCCCCTCAAGAAAGATCATGTTTGGATGACAGAGTTCAGATGCAGTGAAACCAATTTCCAAAGCAAGAATGCCACTCAGTATATGCCCCCAAATTACAGGATTTAACATTTGTTCACCTTGCCACTCTTAAGATTTGTACTTTCCAGTGGACTTAATTATAGAGTCATACCGTATTTATTAGTTTGCATTTTTGTCTCATCTCCCAGAATCATGAGGTCCTTGATGCCGGGGACCATGTATCATTCATTTTTATATCCTTTAGTGCACTGCCTGGTACACAATGGGTATGCAAATATATGGCTATTGAATTAACAAACTATTAAAGTACTCTTTTAAACTGTGAGATGCACACTCATGAAGGATTGTTTTAAGAGATGGCAAAGCAGTACCTGGAACACGGTAGATACTATATAATACTCACTGGTTGACTTACTTTATTGTAGGCAAGTGGCATACAGACTTACTTATGGAGACTAGCCACTGAATAATGAAACAGGTGGCCTGTGACCTATTTACTTGGGTCTAAAACAATGACAAACTGTAAATGGCTCTAAAAGGCATTGTTATTCATTGGAAAGGTATTTGAACATATAGGTAACATAATTCATAAACAATCAAAACCACCAGATTTTGCGGGAGCTATCTGGGATGATGGAAATGTTCTAACACTGCACTGTGGTGTTGGTTGTGCAATATAAAGTTGCAAGAAATCCTTGAACCCTTTTCTTACAATGGGGGAATTTTATGGTATAGAAAATATACTTCAATAAAGCAATTTTTAAAAGTGACCAGTATTTGGTGTAATCCAGGAATAATATAACCTCCCTGGTTCTTAGAAAATTGGCCCATGACCATTTTCCTTCTAGACCCAAATCACATAAAACAGTGGTGAATGTGGAAAGTTAAAGTTGTGGTTTCCATGTGTGCCAAATAACGCCAATCATAGGAAAAGCTGCAAAGGATCGAAACTAACTGGGTAACTGTCACCCCATTCCCTGAAATCCTGCCCTGACACCAAGTGTCCTCAAGACCCACCTGTGCTGGTTAGAGCCCGTGCCACCTTTCCACCAACGCCTGTGGCCTGGCCTCAGTCTCTAAGAGCAGTGGTTCTCAGTATTGCGCCCTTGCCAGCAACATATGCATCACCTATGCGTTGGTTAAAAATGCAAGTTCACAGGCCAATGCTGACCTAGTGAATCAAAATCCCTGGGGGTGGAGCCCAGAAATTGTTTTAACAAACACTCAGTGATTGTTATGCAAGTGAAAGTTTGGGAAGCACTGCCTTATATGGTCTCCCGGGTCACCATTCTGATTGGAATCCTAGGAGATCTTTCAGGCCGGTGCCAGGACAAGGAGAGAGGCCCTCCTAGGAAACAGAGGGGCCCATGTGAGGACCCCACCTCCCCAAGTAGCTGAGTCCAAATCCTGCAGCTTTACTCTCTTCAATCCTGTTGTGCTGAGTTCGTGGAGGCCTGCCCTTCCAGAGAGAACCTGAACTGACTCAGAGAAGAGCCAGGTGAAGAGAAGTATAGAGACCAGCCTCTCCCTGATCCAGATATGTTATTTGATACAGTGGGAATGCAACAAGATAGTTCCTCCCATTTCAAAAATATGCACAACATTCATTTTCAAAAACGGTTGCAGAGAACACTGGAAAGGAGGCAGATTCAAAGTATGAAACAGACCACATTCCTAAAAGGAGGTAGGAATCAATCTACATGTTAAAATGGAGCTCACCTCCCATTATGCAATGTGCATGTACATGAAAAGTTATAAATAAATGTCCGTATAGCAACTCATATTTAAAATATACCAGAAATACAAATCATATTTTCAAGCACGATTTAAAGGATGATAATGGCAGATTCCTTTATAGAGAAAACTATAAACACCTAATTGAATTCATTTGTAACCATGAGTTTTCACCTAAACACTCATGAATCATACAAGCAACATCTAGAATCCATAGATCTGGGGGGCTTCTCTGCAGCAGCATACAAGAGGTAGGATGAGCCTGAAGATATCACCTCTTTGGGAGCTAAGATGGTGGGGACAGGATATATCTCAGCATTTTCACACACACCCAGGGTACCGTCATTTCTTTCTCCATGGTGTGAAGCAGAAACAACAGCCAGTGTGCCATGTGACACTCCTTCCTCAGAACAGTTATTAAGTATCAGTCTAACAACTCGACTACGTGTGCACGAAGGGGTAAAATAGCATGGCTGTGACACTATTTTTTTAAAAGCAAATTCTAAGCTCAGCCGCAATTTTAACCTCACTCATATCACTTTGGAAATTATTTAGGGGAAGGGTGCAATGAGGGTAATTATGGATGGAATGCCAAGCCAGATTTCAAATGTCTTGGCTTCTGTCAGGAAAAAATGCTATTTAAAGAGAACTCAGTGTTGCTAATATTCCCATAATTGCCATCAACTGTTCTTTAGTTGGTGTTAGTTGGCTGAGGCGTTTTTCACATGAAGGTGTGGCTAGAAAGATGTCAGCCCATCTCAGAGGAATTCTGTCAGGAGAGGAGTGGTGAAGACTGAGACCCCGGGGCACAGAGCCTGGTGCACAAAATGACTCTCCTAGTTCTCAGGATCCTTTGATATGTCAAATGTGCTACCCATTTGCAGGAAACACATATAAAATTTTATTAGAGCAACCCTACCCCCTTTACTTACATAAAGGAAAATATAAATCAGCCAGAAATAACACCGGCTGGCCCAAGCAGCAAGCGAAGCCAAATAACACCAACCAGAGTAGCGCTTTGCTGTGAATGTCATTCACTAGTCGGGAGAGCCGAGCCAGGGCTGAGCTGGTGACTGCAGCCTGGGGACCTCTGAGGTGGAGTTGGCCGTGACGGGGAAGGTGGGAACACCACAGCCACCATGGCCAAGCACTCTCCTGCCAACCACATTCCCCTCAGCCCCGGTTTCCATACCTGCAAGGGGTGGATAAACACTCCTGCCTCGCTCGGTGGTCGTAAGGGGTAAAATGGGATCCTACAGGTGAAACCCGGTAGTGGAGAGGCTAGACAGCAGGCCTTCAATGAATCTAAGCTGAATCTGGGTTTCCGTACAGCTCGGCAGACGTCAGGACTAACCCCTGTGGGCATCATCCTCAGGGGATCACATTTTTGGATTGTTTTCTTTTAATTTGGTGTCATTTGTCAGTTGTTCTCTCCCTCCCTTCTTGCCTGCCATCCACCCACCCACCCATCCATCCGTCCGTCTATCCATCAAGTACTTTTTGAACATCTACTGTATTCTAGGCACTGAGCTACGTTCTGGAAACACGATGGTGAGCAACACAAATATGGGTCCTGTCCCCATGACAACCCAGAACACAAGAAAATGAAATCAGTTTTACAATAAGGCAAGAGCAATGATTAAGTACTGGGTGTCATGGAGGTGGGCGACTCAGGGAAGGCTCCCTGGATGCAAGGATATTGACGCTACAGGATGAGAAGTTAGCCTCATGGGTGTGTAGGCGAGGGGCATGCTCTAGGGAGCACGTGCCGAGGCCCCAGGGTGGGGAGAGCCAGGCGCACTGACGTTCCCCAGCAGAACAACGTCATTAAGACATGCTAAGCAATGATGTAGGAAGTTCGGAGACCAGCTCAGGTCCTAAAGGACCTTGAAAACTAAGCTGAGGAGTTTAGACCTTACTCAAATGGTGGATAAACTGCAACAACTCAGCAAGTCACAAGGCCTTTCTGGGGTTCCTTGATTCCATCACCTGTAAAATGAGGGTGGTGTAGATCACAGTTCCTCCTATACACTAAATCCTGAAAATCTCCAGGACCTGCTTTGCAAATGCTCCTCAGCAGGCACAGAAAGTGCTGCTTCTTCGATGGAACTAACAGTCCCGTGGCCTTGCACTGAGAGTGCCTGTTCTGCGTGCAAACTAAATGTGCCCCACGGTCTTTTCCTTTGCATGGTTCCATGAGTACCCGGTACTGGGAATGCCAGTGACCTGGAGCCAGGCTAGGCCAGGAATGGCAAGAAGTGAGCTCTGGTCGAGGAAATGTGATTCTGAGATAACCCAAAGCCCGTCGTTACATTGGCCTTAAATGGAAACCCACCCAGATGGCAGCGGCATGTTAGAACCGGGTAAGACAAAAGGATTTCCTGAAGGGAACAGAAGGCTGTATGTTTTCGAGAATCTGGAACAAGACTCCTAACTTTGCAGAATCCCAAATTAAAAAATGTCCTGGTACATTCATTTTGAGCAGCTGGTAATCTTTCCAGTAGCAATGTCTACTTCTAAGTTAAATTTTGGATACTGGTGGAGAACCGAGGAGAATATTGACTGTGCGGCCCTGGCCTCGCCTGTCTCCCGCTCAGGCGGCCTCTCTGGCCGGCTCTCCTGCTCACACCAAGAGCCCTCCCACGGCGCACTTTTCTCATCATGGCCTGACACAGGAAACCCCAGCCCCTATTGTGCTGGTAACTGCAGAAACCCTTAGGCATCCCAGCTAAAATTAACTTCTTTAAATTTTCAGCACAACTTGATCCTCCGTGTAGTCCTTTGTTTTGGCCTCCTAGAACTTCCAGTAGGAGGGAAGGAGGATGCAACTCTTCTCTTCTGACATCCCCTCCTCTCCATTCCCCAGAGGGCTGTGGGCAGAATGAGAGAGGAGGAAGGCAGAGGAGAATTTGGGGAGATGAGGAGGAAGAGGCAGAGGGGATGCAGAGGGGGCTCCATCCTCAGCCCCTCCCAGGGAGGCTCAGCATGAATGCACCAGAGCGAATGTGTGGACGGTTGGGGCACATGATTACGATTTCCTAGGACAATCTGAATTCACATTCTCTATTTGGGAATATCATTCAATCTTTGTGAGGACAGGGACTCTGACTCCTGCACCCACATTCCTCCTCTATGATGCCCTGGGTGTCCACGTCCCTGTGTGTGATCAGGATGCCCAGCCACACTGGTCACTACAAGTCCTGCTCCTCCAGCAGCTGCCGAAGAGAGGCCTGCAGGGCTCTGCTGGGGAATCAATCGCTTTTGCTACCAAAGACATCGAACCGAGAGGCCACAGGAGGTGATGGTGAAAGGCAGGGATTGCTGAGTCAGGCTGCCTGGGTTCAAAATCCGCTCAGCCCCCTACCAGGGGTGTGATGTTGGGCACATTGCTTAGCTGCTCTGCTCCTCAGTTTCCTGAGAGAGGCAGAGCGCCCGTCCTTCATTGTACCACATGTTTCGAAGGTTCCCTGAGTTGGGGGCTGCACCTGCTAGGAATTCGTAGGAGTGTAGAAGTGGTAGGAGCTGAATGGCAAGATAACTCCTTTAACACTGATCTTGACAGAACCCCAGCAGAGGAAATGAAACTTTTAGCAGCCAGAATGATCCTTTTAAATAGTTAATCTGATCATGTCACTCCTTGGCTCAAGATGCTGTGATGGTTCCAAGTCTCACTTGGGCTGAAAAAAGGCCTACATCCTCCCGACAGCTGTGAGGCCCCACGCAGCCTCGCCTTGGCGACCTCTGAGAGCCTGTCTGCCTTGCTCAGTCAGCTCCAAGCTCAGTGTCCTTCCCGCAGACCCTCGACCACACCAGGCGTGTCCTCGCTCGGGGGCACTGGTGCAGGTTGTCCCTCCACCCCAGGTACCCGCATGGCTACTTCTCATCTCCTGCGAGTCTTTGCTCAGATCTCACCTTCCCAGTCAGAACCCAATTCGGTTCTGCAGCCTGACTTCCCCTGCCAGCCCCCAACAGTCCCTATCCCCAGCTCTACTGTTTCCTTTCTCCCTAACATTTCACGTATTTATTATGCTTATTTTTCATTGTCTGTCTCCTCCCCATCAAAGTGTGAGTTCCAGGACTGCAGAGAGCCTTGTCTGTTCTGTCCTCAGACAGATTCCCAGCACCTGGCACACAGAGGGACGCCATAAATATTTGTTGAATGAATGACTTGCCACAGTGCTAGTAGGATGGCAACCTCAAATGAGACTTTGTTTGCCTGAGTAATACACGGCCTCCCTCTGTAGTACCTCTTTCTCTTTCCACGGTATGAGCTTGCGCTTCTCTCTCACTGTCAGAACGCCCCTCCTCAGACCGTGTGATTTGGTGCCTTTCCCTCGCACTTGGGGCAAGGCTGAAGTGCAATTCCCCGAGGCCGCTGCCTTCGTCAGTGCTCTCAGGCGTGGTTCCGGCGCCCCGGCTGTGGGCCCTGAGCTCAGCTCTCCTTGCTTTGCCTGCTCAGGAAGAGGGCGTGGAGCTCTGACCCCCTGGCTGGCTGTCGGCCTGTGTGGGCTCTCACGGCGGCCGACACTCAGCCACCCGGCCACGTGGGAACACTGTCACTCTTGTGTTTCCAAGGCTGGGGGTCTGAGTGGGGTTCGTTCTGCAACATGGCTGGAGAGTCTTCAGCAGCCCTAAGCTACGGGTTGAGGATCCGGGGCTCTGCCTTCTGACTCTCACAGCACGCTAGCACCTCCACCACAGGTGGGCGGTGAAACTGAGTCAGTTGGCAGAGCTGCTCATCCGAGCTCCGTGAAGGAGATGGTGAAACCAGGGGTGAAACCGAGGGTGGAGAGGCATTTTTGGATTTCATTTCTCCCTGCTATCTTTAACCCCATTACTGCAAATAAACGAGGTGGCTACAAAACAGGACCCACAAAGGGAGATAAAAGGAGGCATGTATTTCATAAAAAAGAGGGGAAGACTTTTTGTGTCTTGCCCACCAACTCCTTTGTTCATGATCTCATCTCCAAAGACCTGAGGTTTTAATAGCCCATAATTACTTAATCATTCTAGCTCTGCCGTTTGTTCTCAGCTTTAAGTGCTACGTAAACATGTTGTTTATTAAGGAGATAGCCTAAATGTGGAGAAAAACTGAAACAGTATGAGAATTTCTTAATAGCGATTCTCATCTTACAATTAAAGTCACATGAAAGGAGAAAAAAGTGTTGAAATACTAGGAAATAGTTTCTTTCCCGAGGTCTGCGTGTTTAGAAGCTCAAACTTAAAATTTTAAATTTCAACCTGAGTTTTCATTTTTGCATTGTCAACCAATGTGCTTCCCATGCCAGCAATGCTCAGACAGCATGTGGCCGGCCGGCTAGACTCGGGGTGCTCTGAACACTTACTGATGATGCAGACCCCTTGTGATCAGTGTGGAAACTCTGTTTTTGCTGTGGCTGGGGATGTACTGCTCGGCTGCTGTGTTTTGGGCAGAACAGGAAGAGCTGAGCTGGGGGGATCCTTAGGGTAGGGTAGGTCAGGACAGAAAGGGACCAAGAGCGAGTGCAAAATAACAGTGTGACAAAAGAGTGAAGAGGGTATTGTTGGCCAGGACCCAGGAACAGAGTGTATTTATGGGAATGTGGCGAACTCAGGGTGGTGACAAGGCAGGGGTGGCCAAGACAACAGGGTCATGACCATGAGGGAAATTTGGTCCTCAAATATGCCACAAAAAAACCTAAAATCAAAGCAAGACAATACAATGGAAAACCACCCCTTTAACCTTTTATTAATAGGAAATGGTAACATAGAAAGAAAATCATAAAAAGGAGTATCTTTTAAACCCTGCGACATAATTCATACACAATCAAGAGCAACAGATTTTGAGGTCATTGGATTATAAGACAAAACAACAGAAAACACTAAAAAGACAAAGAAGGAAGAAATACGCTTTTGGATTAAAACAAAAAGAAAAAAACGAACAAACTAAAAACCCCATTTCAATCCCCGCAGTACATACCTTGTAGAGAGGCCTGTAAGTCTTTCATGTTTTGGTCTAAAAGCTGCGAAGGAAGGAAGCCTGAGCCTGTCTGGGGCTTGGGGTCCGGCTCTCCCAGGGCCAGGGTCGGTGCTGGCTCCTTCAGCTGGCTGTCTCCGAACACGGCGGCCCACTCTTTGCTGAACTCGCCCTCTTCCAGCGAGGACGCGTTGAAGATCTCACTCAACAGCAGGAGGTCATCTTTGTCACCTTCGGGTTCCAGGGTCCCTGCCACTGGGCCCAGGCAAGCTGATTGAAGTGATGGAGCACAAAACATCAGCACCGAGGGCTCAAGCCCTCGAGAGTAAATGCTACGGGGGCTGGGGTGGGACAGATGGGGCGATGGGCAGATTTAAGAAAAAGTTAATCAAAATATAAATCCATCCCATAATCTGAAGAGATCTGAGAGTTAAATTTCTACTCCCATGCTCCCTCCTCCCTTTTCCTCCAAAGCAAGTCCAGTTTCTGAGCATCAGACTCTAGGGTTTTAGCTTTTCCTTAATATAAAAGCAAATTTACCCAAACATTTCTTAAACATACAACAAAGCCAGGATTGAAAGCACGTTGGCGATCTTAGTTCCTTGTTTGTATAGCTCCCTGAATCTTTTGACACAAGCCCTCAACACATATTGCCTGGGCCAGAACAGCAACGAGCCACGTGGCAGCCTGTCCTGCCACGCGGGATGGGGAGAGAACCCTCCTCACACCCTGGACCAGGGCAAGGGAGGGGAGTGGAGGGCGTGGAGGAGCCCAGTGGTCTGCTTGAGGGCAGCAGTGAGAGAATAACAGGGAAAGAGAACAAATCAAGGAATGGCACCAGGGGAGTGACCTTCCTAGACCAAGGGCACAGCTCTGGAGGGTTGAAATGAGCACAGGACCTGAGGAAGAGCCCCAGGTCCACCCCTTCCTTGCTGTGTGACTTTAGCAAGACCCTTAACCCCCCTGAGCCTCTGTTTTCTCACCTATAAAGTTATAACGCTAATCATGCCCACCTCGCAGTATTGCCAGGAAGACCAAAAGAAATACACCTTAAACCTAATTGCCTGTCCAGAGGAAGACTTCAAAGGAGAACCATCTTTACCATATGAACATTGACGAAATACTGAATATTGAGCACAAGGAGAATGGGAATATTACTATCTGAAATTCTACACCAAGACCTTTCACTGAGTTTTCTACATATTTTGAGAAGTGAGGACTGATGGCTTTATTAACTGTGACTTTGTTGTGGCATGTAATTGCCTCTTGGAGACTAAAAAGATTTTTGTTGTTAAATCATAAAGAAAAAAATCATGATTTATATTTTTTCTGAGCTACACTGCAATTCTGATACAGTCATATTAGGTGAGATTACCAGGTTTTCCTCAACTATTTAAGATAATTAGTAAGTGAAGGCTTTTTAAAATAAAGCTTCTCTGTGTTGGCTTTGCTGGATCTGTTTTCAACCACACTTTACATAAAGATCTTGAAGATGAAGGGGATTTTTGATGTGCTGAGCAGACAGGCTATAAATCAGGGAGGGGAGGGGTTTAATCACTCTCGTGTCACTTTAGTTTAAAAACAGTGGCAAAACATCACTTCCATCGGACAACTGTCTAATTTAAGCATTCTTATTGTCTGTGCTATCACAGAAGTGTTCATCAAGACATAGCCTGTAGGGGTTGTGGGTGAGAAGATGGGAAAATGGTATTTTAAACAGGCTTTTGAGACTGCTGTAGTAACAGGGGGGCACAGGAGCCACCCAAGTCTGCGCATGGTGGGTGAGGCAGCACTGGCATGGCAGGAAACCCACTCTGTGGACGAAGGCAGCAGCCAAAGGAAAGCAACATTCTCGGTGTCAGGGAACATCCATCAACACCTGTGTTCACGCATCTTCTCCCCCCATCTCTCTCTTCCTTTCCCCTCCTCCCCCTCTCCCTCCCTCCTTCTCTCTCCCCATCACCCTTTTTATGTGTACTAACTTCTCAGATGTCTGCAGTGCACTTCCTACCTGCGCAAACCCTTTCTCATGATTTACTTTCTAGTCTGATATCAGATGATTGGTGAACCAAACCCATTTTATTGGCACCAATTCAAATGGATGTATAGATCCTTGAGCAGCAGATGACTTTAAACGTGTCCTGGAAATGATGTGTGTTCCTCCTGTAATCACTTTATATGGCTCTTCACTGCTCACCCCCACACCCCCCAAGGCAAGCTCCGGGGGCAGCTTCCCTGCTTTCGTTAAGGTGTCCATCTAGGAAGACCACCATTAACATTAACAACAAGTAAGAAACTCTGTGAGCCTTCCACATATAACCGCAGACTGTAGAGCTCTATCTTTGTTTTACTATTTAGGTTTTGTGCTACAGAGTTTATGATGGACTTCAGTGGCTTTTGCTAACTTAGCATTCCTTCCCTCTTCTTCAGGTTTCCCTTTGGGGGAAACACCTTCTCCATGTGATCCTGGTAAGACACCAGTTGAAATGGCTCAGCAGCCCCCCAGCCCAGGGGACTGTGTGACTGAGGCTGGCCAGAGTCCATCTCTCAGGCCACCATGAGGGACTCAGGGGTGGGCACATGCCGGCGGCTTCCCTGGGTTTGGTATATGGAAACTGGATGGAAGAGGGTCTCTCTTTCATTGTGATCCCAAGTTCTAAAGATGCAGATTTGAGCCTTCCAGTGATGACGAAGCCAAGACGTGGGCGGAAACAGCCTGAAGAGCTGGAGAGAGAAGCCTGACAACACTGTCTAAGCCTCTGGAGTCAGCCTTGCTTGAAGCCACTCTACAACTGTGTGTCCTCAGTCACACAGATCAATACATTCTTTTTCTTTTAAAAAAATTTTAAACCTAAACTATTTTGAGTAGGGTTTCTCTATCACTTGCAGTCAAAAGATTCCTAATACTGTCCCTATCAAACTCAGATGTTTTAGGGACAGAAATGGGAAGAGGATCCATGGTGAGGATATTGCCTACGGCCAGTTCTGAATACCAATTTTGCCTGTGCTGAGGTCTGTCATTGAAGTTAGCCTTGTTATTTAGCCTTGCTAAATAACTGTTAAATATCCTGGATATTTAACAGTTAACAAGCTACATACACAATGAACATTTTCTCTTTTAAGAGAACGTGTTACTTAGCTAAAAGCAATGAAACTGGCACTGATCTGAACCATAAAACACGAAAACCTCCCAATTATTGCACTGATAATTAAGATGTTTGAAATTACTACACATAACTCATAAGAAAAACTTAATTACAAGTAGAAAAGGACAGGTTTAGGTCTGTAACCAGTCAAGTTGAGACTTGAGAAATAACTCTAGTCAGTTGGCTCTTGAGAATCATCCTATCATTTTCTTTGAAAATAATTCAACTCGACTAAGAGAAAACAGGGACACACACAGAGATACGATATGCTCTTTGAAAGAAGCCCTGGTAAGAGCTACGCAGCTGGAACCGGAGCTTCCACTCATGCAGTGAGCAAATATGGCTACTGAGTTATGGTGCCCTGTCCTGCTTTTGCCTTAAAGAATGAACAAAGGTTGTGGAGGTCTCAGGTGCCAAACCCACAGATGCTACTCCAGGCTACCTCCTGCACTCTCTGCAGGCTCCCAAGTCTCCACGTTTACTTTCATATCAAATAACCCAACCACAGACGCTACTACAAAAATAAAAGCCAACAGACATGACGTACTCACATCCTCACCTCTCTGTCTCCAACTCTATGACCTTTCCTGCATTCCCTCTCCTTTCTAAGATTAGCCCCCTTGGGACCTCCCCCTCCTTCTGGAGCCTGCTCTGCTCCCACCATTATTCAGGTCCAGCTGCTTTAGCCTTTCATTCTCCAATGTTTCCCTCCCCTGCCCTCAGGAGATGTGTGCACACCCCAACAATAATGCATCTTCACTTGATATTTCTGTCCGCCCTCCTCCCACCCTTTCAAGTTACTGTTCTGGTTTCTTCTTCCTTCCACAACCACACACTCTACTTTGTCTCCACTCTTTTCTCAGCAGCCTGTAATTAAGTTCCTGCCCCTACCCTAAACTGAAGTGGCTCTCTTGAAGATGATTGGTGAGATCCTCACGGACAGCTCCAATACCCTTTTCTCGGGCTTGACCTATGTAGCATTTTGCACTGTTGCCTGGCTCTGGAAATGCTGTCATCCCCTGGGAGTCTTGGGTGACCTCCTATCTCATTGACAATACCTTTTCCGCTGCCTCCTCCTCCTCTGGTTGCCCTTCCGGTTTCATTCTAAGCATCATATCTCCCTTCCCTACATTATCCATGGAAGATCTCATCAGTTCTCACGGTTCCACTCTCATCTCAGAAGATTCTCAAATCTCTTATCTCCAATTCCAAGTTCTTTCTTGAACTTTGATGACAAATTCCTGTTTAGGGCTTCCTTCGGGGTTTGCCCATTGGCAAGGCTGCTGGCACACCACAGAGGCAGCCTCCTACTGGGTACCTCTGCTGAGTCCATGCTATGGTTTGAATATTTGTCCCCTCCAAAACTCGTGTTGAAATTTAATCCTCAAGGTGGCAATATTGAGAGGTAGAGCCTTTAAGACGTGATTGGGCCTTAAGGCGTCTGTCCTCATGGATGGATCAATCCTTTCATAGAGTAATGGGTTATCACAGGAGTGGCACTGGAGGCTTTATAAAAAGAGGAAGAGAGACCTAAGATGCCACGTGATATCCCACACCACCTCAGGACTCTGCGAAGTCTCCATCAGCAATAAGGCTCTCACCAGATGCAGCCCCTTGACCTTGGACTTCTTAGCCTCCAAAACTGTAAGAAATATTAATAAATCCTTTTTCTTTATAAATTACCCCATTTTAGGTTTCTTATGATAAGTAACGGAAAATGAACTCAGTCCAGCTGTGAGATTATTCACTTACTCACAAAGCTTCAAGGGCTCCCCTGGAGCTATAGAGTAAAGCAGCACTTCTCAGAGTGGTATTCCAGACCTCGACAGCCAAGAGCTAATGCAGCCCTAACAGCAACCCAGCAACATGGCCATCTGGAAAGCCTACAGTTCAGCAAAACTCCTCTGCTTGTCATTGCTCAAACATGCTTTCCTGCCTTCCTGTCTGGGAACCTGCTGTTTTCTCCCAATAAGAAGAATCATACTTTTTTTTTTTTGTTTTTTGGTAACCAAAAAGGATCTTAGAAATCTTCTCTTCTAACTCATTTTACAGATGAGACAAAAAACATTCAGGTTAGAAGGCCTGCCCAACGCCATATACTAATTACAGATAATCTGGCTGGGGACCCCTGACTCGCAGGTCAAAATATTTTCTCACTGTAGCACCTACTAGGGATCTCATATATAAATTAATATTTGCTGGGCAAATATTTTGCTGTGCAGGCACCATGGCAGAATGGCGGAGATGGCAGATCCACTCAGCTTGTTTGCTCTTCACTGCCCAAGGGTTCAGAAATATTATAAAAACCCCAGACCCCTGGGAGAAGAACATCCCCTAGAAGAACTAATCCTGAACCAATGAGCGATATCTGTGTGAAAACTCACATTCAGAGGAAGCTCTCTCAAGTTCAGACAGAGTGTGGGAAACGGGGGACAGCTCACTCAGGTAGTATTTTTGAAATCATACCAAGTTTCATGATCTCAGCATAAATTAGGCACCAGAAGATGGAAACATAACTACATAGACCAAAAACAAGAGCACAGGAAAGCAAACAGATAAATGTCACTTAATTTCCCTTCATCTGCGTGTGAAGCAGGAAGACTCTCTTGCTGGTTTCTCCCTGGTCCCCACTCTTGACATTATGACTAATCGTAAAGGCCACACACTTGCGATGCAGATGAAAAACCCCAAACACCAACACTCTCCTCACATCACCCAAAAGACAGTCAGGGGAAAAGGTAGGGAGGAAACCACCTTACAAAAATGGCTAATAAGAAAAAAATGTTCTTTATTATAAAAGGCTCTGGTAATGAATGGCACCCATTTGGAATTCAAGAATACCGATTCTAAAAACTCCTTTCTGGTGCAAAAAGATAGAGATTATAATAAGAAGAGGTGGGGGGATTAAAAAAAAAAACCAACAACAACAAATAAACAAAAACCAAACCAACAGTGCTAGACCCTGAGTGGGCACCAAAAAAAACAAAAACAAAAAATAACTTGTTGATGAGCCACATGTCTTCTCCATTTTAGTCTAGATCTGAGCAGCCGAGTAATTAGAAAACATACGACCTGGGGCAGGGGTAGAAAATCTTTATAGAATCTTTGCAGAAATCTTTATAGGGATAAATCAACACAGAGCACGACAGACTACATGGTAATAACTAAAAGCAGCATTTGGTTTAAAAAATGTACCATTATTCTTTGAAAGGACTAAAGCCAGCAGTACATCCCAGGACACTGAGGAAGACAGGGTGGAGGAAAAGTTTAACAGAAAAGATAATGAGCTTAGTACTTGCCACCTTGTATGTGAGGAAGCGACCAGATCCCTAGTCAGTAATACATGGATAACTGCAGGAGACAGTTCTGAGTGACTTGGGAGAAACTGGGCACTGAGAGATAAAACACGGGGTGATTGCAATGGGCTAAAAATTGTCACCCAGAACTACAGTAGCTACTGAATGTCATTCTGATATGTGGCCAGAAATTAGAATCACAAGTCTGGAAGTAGTAACCAAGGAAATAGCAGAAGACAAACATTTTAGTTATAATATGGACAATTAAAATTTTTTTAAATTGGCTCAGTCAGTCTAGTCTTAGAGAAAGATCTTTTAGATAAGGCCAAGTTATGAGATTTAGGTGAGTTGAATTTTATTGAACTCTCTTCTGCTTTTTAACCCCACTTTTTAATTCAGTTATCTGCTATTTTTCTTGGCCCAACTCTGAGGAACACAAAGACATGTTATAAACTCATGAATTGAGGTTGGATTGTCACATGTGGTCACAAAGCAATTTCAGAGCTACTTTCATGTATCTCAAAACGTCACTAAGTTTCTTTTTCACTGAAAACATTTTTATAAACTGTGGTCAAATGTTGGTTTTCCATTACATTATCTATTTAGTAGGAGAAAGCAAATTTCATTATGACACTGAATGGGAGTGATTTTCTGAGCAATGGCTCTTTGAGAATCGTTGCTGTTGTCAGAGGCAGTCTGATTTTGACAACATACCTTAGCCATTACTTGTCTAACAGAATTGCCACTGGGAGTGAACCGGCCCCCAAGCAGCAGGGTGCTAGAGTTTATAGCCCCCAAGTCCTATAAAGTCAGCCATCCCTGGATTAAGCTCTTTTATTTCTTGACTGTTTAATGTCTTGCATATTGTAATCAGCATTTTAATTCAGGATTTGGGCCTTCCGGCAATTTTCCAAAGGGCACACGTTTTGAAGTCAACCCGTTAATGAGTGTTCTTTTCTTCAGTCATCATGAATTCTCTGTGCAGCGAGAGAACATTTTTATACTAGTGGCCATGCTAATATTTAAGCCAATGTTACCCTATGGGTTGACCACATAGATGAAGAGGCAGATAGTGGGGAAGCATCGCTTGTACCTGAGGAAGGGATTTGTGGATTGGCAGCGATAGAAAGGAGAAATTCAGTGACATTGCATTTAATTTGTAAATCAGTATTTCTGCTTGAGAACAAGTACACGTTTTAGGGAAACGCACATTCGTATCTTTATCTTTAGAATGAAATTGAGTGCTCAAAAAAAAGAATAGGAGCTGCTAGTCTGCAAAACTAACAAAGATCATAACCGTAAATCAATGAGATACGAAAAGTTTTAAATAAGTAGAAAGATATCAATCTTATTCCAATGTATCTTGGCATAAGCTTTTGAGGAAGTTTATGAAAGTAAGCGTCTATCTCAGGCTACTGCCTTTCTAATTTAATTCTGTGAAGAAATGCGTAACTACTAGGCTAGTGTTACACCATTACTACCAAGTTTAAAAAAATCAAACTCCAGGCCGGGCGTGGTGGCTCACGCCTGTAATCCTAGCTCTCCGGGAGGCCGAGGCGGGCGGATTGTTTGAGCTCAGGAGTTCGAAACCAGCCT